GGGGTATCCCCGGATTGTGGAATTCTCCGGAAACTCACCCGGATCATTTGGGACACCCAGTTGTCCTCGGCTGTGTCGGCCAATCCGTGTACAATGAAGACGGTTTTCTGTCGGATTCTGAAGGCGGAACGCCGGACACTCGTCATATTCCCGGAGAAGATTTCCTGGAGGAAGAAATATCAGAAAAACCCGAAACTCTTCCTCCTTCCCCCCATCGCAGTGCTGCTGATCTCCTGCAGCCTCTTTGCGGCCACTTCCTGTCTACATGACTCCGGTGATGGCTGCGTGACATTTCTCAGGGCCGTGTCTGTGTCATGTGTGATGGAACGGCCACACGTAGTCCCCATCTGAAGATCATGTGACAAGTTCTGAGCCCCACCAGAGGATGAGCATGTGACCCGCAATGGCCAATAGGATTCCTTCATCTCTCCTGTAAGGTCAGTTCACAGCCGCTGCGTCACAATGCTTCCCAATGGGATTTCGGCTTCTCTGTTCACACCGGTGCAGTCACAAAAATCCCGCTGGCCACATATTAGCTGCAGCGCAACGCATCGAAAACGCACCCGACGGCCCAAGCGGAAAACGCGACAAAACGCATTGCACTGCAGCCGCGCAGACGCATGCGGTTCTGGTGTTAATTAGCCCTAATTAGAAGGTCTGCAGCTCAGAATGGAAGAAAAGTCAAAATTTGATTGGACTGGGCTGGACTGAATGGGGTTGGATTGGATTAGATTGGATTAGATTGGATTGGATTGGATTAGATTGGATTGGATTGAATTGGATTGAATTGGATTGAATTGGATGAGATTGGACTGGACTGGATTGGATGGGATTGGACTGGATGGGATTGGATTAGATTGGATTGGATTGGATTGGATTGAATTGGATGAGATTGGACTGGACTGGATTGGATGGGATTGGATTGGGTTGGACTGGATTGGATTGGATAGGATTGGATTCGATTGGACTGGATTAGATTGGATTGGATTGGATCGGGTTTGATTGGACTGGATTAGATTGGATTGGATCGGGTTGGATTGAATTGGATGAGATTGGACTGGACTGGATTGGATGGGATTGGATTCGATTGGACTGGATTAGATTGGATTGGATTGGATTGAATTGGATGAGATTGGACTGGACTGGATTGGATGGGATTGGATTGGGTTGGACTGGATTGGATTGGATAGGATTGGATTCGATTGGACTGGATTAGATTGGATTGGATTGGATCGGGTTTGATTGGACTGGATTAGATTGGATTGGATCGGGTTGGATTGAATTGGATGAGATTGGACTGGACTGGATTGGATGGGATTGGATTCGATTGGATTGGATTAGATTGGACTGGATTGGACTGGACTGGATTGGATTAGATTGGATTAGACTGGATTCGATTGGATTCGATTGGATTGGACTGGTATAGATTGGACTGAATGGGCTTGGGTTGGATTAGATTAGGTTGGATTGGACTGGATTGGATCGGGTTGGACTGGATTGGATTGGACTGGATTGGATTAGATTGGATTGGATTGGACTGGATCGGATTTGACTGGATTGGATCGGGTTGAATTGGATTAGATTGGGTTGGATTGGATCGGATTTGACTTGATTGGATTGGATTAGATTGGGTTGAATTGGACTGGATTGGATCAGGTTGGATTGGATTAGATTGGATCGGGTTGGACTGGGTTGGATTGGACTGGATTGGATTGGACTGGATTGGATCGGATTTGACTGGATTGGATCGGGTTGAATTGGATTAGATTGGGTTGGTTTAGATTGGACTGGATTGGATAGGATTCGATTGGATTGGACTGGATTGGATTGGACTGGATTGGATTGGACTGGACTGGATTGGACTGGATTGGATTGGATTGGATTCGATTGGATTCGATTGGATTGGACTGGATTGGACTGGATTGGA